ACTACCGCCACCGCATACACTTTGTCATATCCGCACAAACGAAGAACCGAACCAAAAAAAAAAACAAAAAAAAAATTGAAATTCAAAACTCGCCATATTGAATTTTGTCTCACACACTGCTTCCGCTGGAAAAAGGGCAGTTGCCCTGCCCTGTTCCTTGTTGTTTCACTCCTTGCGCGCTCAAAACTCTTTGTTGCTGGCTGCGCGTTGATGAGTTGAGTACGGTTGAATTGCCTGTCGGTGCGACTGGAAGCGCGCACACATTTCCAGTGTTGCTATACTCTGCCCAGCTCCATGCCGCTGAGAGATGGATGGGTATTATACCAACACACAAAGGCGGCACTCCAATGCCGACTCTTTTGCCTGTGTGCCTATTTCACACACATGCGCGCACTCCAAGACGGGGTAAGGCACCGTCTGATGTAGGGAGCGGGGTGGAACATTCGAATCGAACTTATGTACAAATATACATACATACATATACATAGTATTTAGTTGTGTACCAGAAGAATTTTTTGCCCGTTATAATGCACTAAAGCGGCTTACTATACAATCATACATACATATGTATATACATACACACACATACCGAAATGCATTATTTTTTTTACAAAAAAAAAATTACTGCGTGTTGCATTTATGTTATAGAGATATATGATGTGTGTTTCTGAGCTACATAGTTTTCAATTTTTTTTTATTAAAATGCAGGTGTTGCAGTGCTAAAAAGTTGCATGCAAAACAATACGAAAAAAATAAAATAAATATAAAGTAAGTTTGAAATCAGGTGCCAGCAAGTATAACAAAGAACCTGTATGCAATATGCATACACATCCATGCCATCGTTACCGCTTTGGTAATTTTTTGCCAAAACTGGTAATTTTTTTCTTTTAAAAATTAATTTGGTAATTTGTCATTTTTTTCAATTCGGTACTTTTTTCCAACGTAAGTCTTTTCTTTAAATTTTTAAAGCTAATTTATTACTTATAAAGATTAAGGACTTTTAACCTTCTTACAATTACATAAAACAAAAAATTTGCTTATGTGAATATGTAAATGTGTGTGCCAAAAATTAAAAGGGTCCTTTCACGTAACAATTTGCCTTGAAAACACAGAGCTTTTAGTATGAGTGTGTAATATAGCAATTTAAAGAAACCACCCATTTTTCCTAATATGGCGGCTCGATCACAACCCCTGCAGTCCCAAAAATCAGGTTTTTGGATAATTTTTACCTGCTGGAACCAATGGCGAAAGAAAATATCTTTACAGGACTAATTACAATTTTGCAATTATATACGAATGTGACTAACTCATAAAACTGTAAATTGTTCATCTTCATTATCTAAACTCTTTGTCGATAGTAATATGATTTTTATGAACGCGACAGCGACATCATGAATTTGTATGAGTTTGTCATAAAAGAAGAGGAAGCACTTTATCTGTAAATAGATCTAAGCTGGTGGTATAGCTCTGTCGTCGCCAAAATAATTGTCTACATAAGAATACGTGGAAAAATAATTTGACAACATTGTCGTTTTCAATGTGATCAGACTATTATGTCATAAAAACTTTGTAATTTTTTTAGAGTTTGGTAATTTGTTTGAGTTTTGGTAAAAAATTAAAAATTTTTGTGGCAACACTGATCCATACATACATATGTATGTATGTATGTACGTACATACATACAGATACGATCAACTAATTAGCAACGAAATTCAAACCGACATTGTTTGCAAATAATGTTTATTTATTTATTTTTAATAATTTTCATTTAAAATATAGTTCAATGTATAAAAGAAACCACAATAATAAAAGTTTAAATGCTTACACAAATTCAAAAAAAAAAAATAATCAAACTTCAAAATATTTTCATCAAAATTCCAAAATTTTTAACTAGAATATTTAGAAAATTTTCGGGTATGCAGTTTTGTATCCCATTCAATTGTAGTATAAGAAAGTTAAAGATTACCGTTAATTTTTTAGATTTATTTTTGTGGAGGGTGATTCGCATTTTCTTCCATATAGCAACACCCTCCACAAAAGAAATTCTAAAAAATCAACGTTAATTTTTAACGACGTGAAACTTGCACTTTCTAATACTACAATTGAATGGGCTACAAAATTACATACCCGAAAATTTTCTAAATATTCTAATTACAAATTTTGAAGTTTTGATGAAAATTTTTTGACGTTTGACACATTTTTTTGCAAGATTTGCAAGCTTTTAAACTTATATTACTGTGGTTTCTGTTATAGAATGAATAATATTTTAAATGAAAATTATTAAAAATAAATAAATAAACATAATTTGCAAACATTATCATTTTGAATTTCGAGCCCAATTAGTTGATCGCATCTGTACATACCAACATAATTAAGGATCAGTCGCAACTCGCCAGGGGGTCATGCAGAATGTACATATTGAATGTATGTGTACATACATACATACATACATATGTGCAATATGCAGTTATGGGATAGAAATAGAGTGGCTCTTGCAGACACAAATCGTTCACTTACACCGAGCATGTCATAATTATAAGTTTTTGTTTTTGTGTGTTTAGCTCGTTTTATTTGCTGCCATATGTATGTACATATAAACAAAAGCTGGTTTTTTTTTAATTTTTTTCTGCACCACTAGGTAATAACGATTTAGCTACGATTGTTCTATTATTTCCTTGCGTAATTATTATTTTGCTCGAATAAATACATTTTTTGACTTAAAAGTTAGATAAGCAAGCATCTACGCTCCGATATGGCTATAATAATACATATCGATTGTCAAACATTGAAAACTCATAACTGGCAATTTTTCCGGAACTAAATTTCGGAAATTTTTTTAGTTTTGAATTGTCAATGTTTGACCATCGATATTCAGTATTTAGTGAATGTAGCATTACAATTTTCGATGAAAATGAAAATAACAATTAATGATGTGCTGAATTGTCGGTACCCAATATTTGAAAAAAAAAATTCGATACATTAAACCTTCGTCATAATGTATACACCTGTGGTCAGCTGATTAAGTTTAGTGACGTTTGACAAGTTTTGGTTAATTCTATTTTGTTTATTTAACGTTTATAATTTCATTTATAAAAGTCTAGCACATTACAGAACCAGCATCACATCAATCCACATTTAAAACTTCTTACAAAAATTATAAAAATTTAACAAACTTTAATAAACGACAGTACTAGGTGACGGAGTCTCTCTCTCAACTACAAATCCAACGCCGGATTTAAACTCCTTTACATGGCAGCTGTAGTCTATATAGGATGAAATTAACGAATTCTTGATAAGTTTAAAAAATTTTGTACGAATTTTTTTTTCAAAACCTCCCAACGATATTTAATAGCTGTCAAAAACTGTGCAAAGTTCTTCGGACGTTCCGATTTTTTCCAATGAGAAAAAAGTTTTTGTTTAAGAATTCAAACACACTCGTTCTTTATGAGGTTTTGTTGCAAATAATACAAAGCACATAATGCCTCAGTAGCTAGCGGGCGACAGGTAACAAGATCAATGGAAATAAGGACAATAAGCACTATTTCGCATACTGGTGCGAAATATAGTGAATTGACATTATTTCCAAATTTGGGCAAAAACGTTATTTTTGTTGGTTTTCCATCATTCCTCATCCTGTCCAAATAGATATAAATAATTTAAAAATAGTCTAACGCTCCTTTGACTTTTTTAATAATTTAATTTTTTACTTTTTATTTTGTTTTTGATAAACACAATTTTTAATATATGTATTTGTTTTTTCCTAAATTTAGGTATGTACTAAATATTTTTTTTCAAAAATTGTAAAAAATAATTGCTCTAAAATTTATAAATATATTTTTTTATTCTGTTAACTTTATAGACAACAAAGCCAGTCATATATTAACTTGTTTATTTTTACTTTATAAACTTAGTTTTCGATGTAAAAGCATTACATAACACAATCCAAAATGATGCATTTCGTCTGAATTTTTGCCCGCTATTCCGATTCTGAAGTTTAAAAGTTTGCACGCTTTTAGTTTATAACCTCAAAAAAACTATTATTGTGGTACATTTGTTGTATTTTTTTTAGGATAGAAAGAAAAAAAGTGAGTCAACTTTTCAAATGCTGGCTTCAGATTCAACTTCCAAGGACCAAAACGACATATTCTTTCGACTGCCGTTTCTACTTGACATCTCGTTATATAAAATTTGTTCGAGAAAACTTTATACATATTTGGTTGTGTGCCACACAACTATTTCTTTTTTTATCAAAAAAGTTAGTAATAACTTCATCCAAGGTGTAATGGAAACAAAGAAAAACCTTCAAGGATTTCTTATGAGCACCTAAAGTTTCTGGGAATCCGACTTTAGTTGTCCTTCAAGTATACAAAAGCTGAAACCAATGTTTTGGCAATTTTTGTTAAAAGTTTTTTTTTTGTTATTTTGGCTTTGATTTTTTCGTGTGTTGTTATAAAATTTTGTTTCGGTTTTCCTTGATGTTTTTCATAAAATTGGGATATATATTTAGGCCGAAATTTGACGTTTTTTGAACCTCACAAAAGATGTAGGGTCTTAAAGGACAAGCAACATACATTGACGAATATCGAAATTACGAGTCGTGGGAATTTCTCAGGCAATAGAACCATAACTGGCTGCGTTATGTGGCATGTTGGCCAGTTTAGTTGAAACCTTACATTGTCCAGATCAAAATCTTCAATTTCAGGCCAAAAAGAGTCATTTATCATAGCGTCATGGTGCTGAGAATTGACCGTTCAATGACTCACAGTGGTGTACAAGATGAAATAGCCAATTTTTTTGTAGATCTTCAGATCTTCTGTTTTAATTATAACGTGTACCTAATAAATCTATTGTAATATGGACTGAATATCCGTTTTCTGATCATTTATAGGCAAAAATTTGCACCGGTCCAGTCTGTTTTTTTTTTTTTTAATATATGTTGATTGGCAACTTGATGTCAATATTATATCGATATTATATCACTTCCAGCTGC